TTTTGGGGCTTCTGTCGTGTGGGTTGTAGCAATTGAGGTCTTTTAAGCTGCCACGGTAAAATATAAAAACTCATTTATTTATACAAGTAAGCTTTTAAAAAGCACTTTTGCCCGTCCCAGTATTAACCCTACCACTGCTTCAGGACAATAAATGGGCCAGTAAATGTAGGTTACATGATGCAGGCTGCGTTTACCTACTTTACTTACCGCAGACCGTATCCAGTGTGGCAAATCCTTAAAATATCCTCCAAAGTAAAGAATCATATTTTTTTGACGACAACCAGATTGACCCAAGCCTGAAATGTCCTAGAAATTGGAGTTCATTTACATAAAATATTTTTGATCCGCCCAACACCTACACTAGACTAGTGAAGAGGTAGAGATCAGTAGAGTGTAACTCTCTGTTCCTACCATAAAGTTAGAACCTTAATCTAGTAATATTTTTTACTACAGACAATATTCGCATGTGATTCCTTGAAAACTTGTAACAAGAGAATAAATCCTCTTTGATTCCATAGTTACAGTTGATTTTCCTCCATAAAAGATTATTCTGAGAAACACCGGCAATAACAGTCCCTAAGTATAATAGGTATTCAGTAGTTCGGTTGAAAGCTGTCGGTGTTTCAGTCCGGTAGTGATTGTCAAAGTGTTAAGAAGCTGTACCGAGCTACTTGCGAACTAACCGGTATAGTTGGAAGTTCGCGGACATTACTGTCTCGATGGCCCACTAATAATTTTGAAGCCCTCAATCGTATTGTTTGTGCGAGTTGAAATGCAAGTTGATGGAAATTATGGGTATAAGAGCGTACCGGTATAACAACATTATAGATGTAGTAAAGTAACTTTGAATAGAGCTGAAAGTTCGCCGGAACCATAAAGATGTTTAAATATATTACTCGTATATATTTAGTATCTCATGAAGTATGTAGAGATTTGAGTCTTGTTGAGATTAAACAACTGCCCTTAAGTTCTTAAATTCCGCGATGAATGTGACACCACAGAAAACATTAACATAACTCCTTCCAATGAATGACATTTTAAAATGCGTAAATCAGTGCAGGATGGTGCCGGTTCCAGGGATTACCCCCTACATGCCCATAGAATATTGATAAGTTTAGAGATTCGTACGTTCGACTTTCTCGTCGATTAAATAATTCTTCTAAGTATTTGTTTATGTTTATTTAACTTCCAGACGTTAAAAAATCTGTTAAAAACCCTCCATAAAATTGCAAAGAAAATAAATTACAAAAGGGTGATCATAATATTGCTTTGTAAAGTGTTCTGAAGCAGACACTCATTTATCGTAATAAAATTTACATGGGTGTGCACACAACAGAGCTTATGGGTGGACACCTCCATAAGATACATGAAAATGGGTCAAATTGATATTCCGCTTATTTTGAAACGAGTAAAAAAGGGTCGTGGGAAAGTCTCATGCACGCCACCCCATGGAGTGGCAATACTTTTATTTCGATGGGGTACAAATTTCAAACCACCAGCTATACAAATACCATCGATAAAATATCTTTGGCTTCCATACCTTACCATAGTATTTAGTGTAATTTCAGGTTTTTGTAAGTCGATTTGACTGATGATAGCTTGCCGCATTGAGAATAACTAATCTTAGAAAAAAAACTGACTTGGCTTGGATACCTTTTTTTTTCTAATGATAAATTTTCAGAAAATCGGTCCCGTAAAATTTAAACCCGAAACTTAATCATTATATTCCCAATTCTTATGAACAAATTCATTGTACACTTACAACCAGTTAAAATAACCTCATAAAGACCTAACTACAAACCTAAACTCAAACTAGCAAAGAACGTCGGGTGAGACATCTGAGTGTTTGCGCGCGCGGCTGCGACGGGCGCGCGCTCACGTCTCGAGCGAACTCGACATAACAGCTGGGCTCAAGCAACTTCAACTTGAGAACTCGCCTCTCACAGAGTTACGGCCCCTTCGGTTCTGCACTCACGTTTTTGTCTTATCTTTCTGTTATTTAGCGCGTTTCTTAGGTTTTAAATGCTCGTGGCGTTTGTAATAGGAGTAATAATGGGGTTTTGAATTAAATTAATCGATTATTTATCAATCTCAAGCCAAGCAGTTGAGGGTCAATTTCCCAAACACATTTTTTGAGCGGCGTAGCTGAAAATCATATGTTTTTTATGACATAGAACTTTGATTTTTTTTTACACGAAAATATACAGAGGTTCCATTTAGAGGACAACATTATTAATGAGTATTTTCTTTTACAAATTCGACAAAAAATAATTGAACTAAGCGTTTCTAATTTTGGTGCAGTGTCCACATCCTTAATTTCTTACAATATGTATTTTTTTAGCTGAAGATCAAAACAGAACTTAGGGAAAAAGTATATTTTTGGATTATACAATATATCTATTATCTAAGATTACCAAATTAAGCAAGTTTCCCAAATAACTGTGATTAAGTCACGTCCTTAAGTTTTGTCCGCGAAAAATTTATGATTTTGGTGTCAATAATGAAATAGCTCGTCAGTTTCTTTAAAGATCAAACAGGATTTAAACACTCCCATCATTCGTTAGGTTTAGTACCGCCCCCGCGAGCAGTGACGGCAGACGGGTGCAAGACCTCTGCGTCTTCCCGCCAAAAACGTAAATGTGTTGTTTTTTTTTAAACGGACAACAATTCTGCAATTTTGGTGTCTTTTTGTATAAGATTTCTAAGCTATTATACCACACAACCTTGTCGAATTGCCAATAAACAAATTTAAGATACATATAAAAAATACCCTTATGTCCAAAGGGTACTACAAGGTTCGAGACTATATTGATGACAAGGATGCGTGGTCAGTTCAGTCTGCACATATTTGATGTACTTAAATTTGACTATTATTACCGTTAGATAATTCCTGGCAATAAGTGGTGACTGAGTTTGTTCCGGCGTTTCTTCTCAGCACTTGCCATATGTTTGTCTCGAAGCGCTGGTAGGGCCCAAAAGATAAGGAGAGTTTTCTTTTTTTTATTATTTTCTATTGACGTTCATAAGTGCCACTTGTGGTCTAAACTGAATAAATATTTTTGATTTTGATTTTGATTTTTTGATTTTTGAATGAACAATAAAACTCAAAAAGCTCAAATTGCTAAAGTAACAGGTAATTCGAGTTCTTAAACAACAAAAAAATACTTAATGTTGCGAAAGCAAAAATATTTTGCCAGGAAAAAAAACCTTACGCGACACTTGTTGCAAAAACACTGAAAACACGTCGTTTTAGCAGGGACAAGGGCGGTGATTTTAGGAATACTTAAAATTTTCAACATGCTAAAGCGCCAAAAAAGTTCTCGGATTGAGTTGAAACCTAGACAGATCGACGCAGATAAAAAAATCCTATCCAACAATGTATATAACTCATTTTGGCCAAAATGGCGCTTTAGCGTTTTTTCCTTTCCATTGACGTTATGAAGTTTTTAAATAAAACTTCATAATAATGTCTACTTTACACGAAAAGCCGAAACCAATTTTATTTTATTTATTTATTTAATCATTATTTTTGTTTCGAAAAACTACAAATGGTGGACTTAATTCCATAGGGCAGTCTGTCAACCAGTTGACCTTATGATACTGCAGATAGGATAGAATTATTAAGAACAAACGAAAACTAAACTATAATTATTCTAAATTCTAAATAGAACATTGTTATTCATAATAGCTTGAAATTATGCCATTGTACTTGGTACAAAAGTAGAATGGTTAGGTAATTAAGATTACAAGTAGAAAGTTTTTCATTCCAGTAAAGTACATCCACTTACTTTACTCTTACATAATACAGTTTTAAAAGCCAATTATTTTTAATATAAAAATATAACTTCGAAAAAAGTGCATTTTAGTACATTAAGTCTCAACTGACACTAACATATTTTCCCATGTTAAGCGTAAATATTTTTCCTACTACATAGAATATACTTTATTAGCTGATCCAAATAACTTTAGAAACTATACTTATTTGTTATAATTGTTACAGTCAAAACTCAAAAGAACGTTAGTCAAAATTACTAGAAAATCATTACAAACAATTGTAAAGCGTAGCATTTGTGTGATTTATGCATACAAAACATACATACACTCGAAAAAACATAACCCTCCTTCTGCAGTCGGGTAATAATGACACCTTATGGTACTACAGTAAGGTTACTTCTTTTTCTCATCTAGCTTTTTAATTTTTCAAATTTGTATGATGACTATCCTAACTTAATTATTAGGTAATACGTTATTTTATAGCACGTTTTCATTTTGTCAAATTTTAATCATCTTTTAATTATCTTTTACCTGAAAAATGCCTAGTTTCGTCAAATATGAGAAATAATAAAAAGCATCATTACTTTACCCGATGTGGATAGATGTCATAATTTTTTAATGTACAAATCACATAAACGTTACACTCTAAAATAGTTTTATTACATAATATTTTTGATGATTTTTAGTTCTTTCGTTTGTTCTAAACGCACATACTTAAATACAATAAGAAACGTCTTTACCTACTCAGTTGTTTTAATATCCTGTCTTTGTAGATTTTTGAAATATTTGTTTAGATAATCTAAGGGCGTAAAGGACAAATTATTTAACTTTGGTATGAAAATTTTAGGTTGTATAGGACAATAGATTATACTACATATTGTACATTATACGCCCAAAAATTTGTGTTTACTTTGAAAATTATAAATAACTTGAAAAAATCGAACTGCCTAAGGCGGGAAGGCTTGTGTTTACTTGTTCTTTACTACCATGCCAGCTGTACTAAAAAATCTAATGGTATTTACAACCCAATTTTCACGATGAATTCTGTTAAGCTTATCAAATATAATGGGTCGTAAAGGCACTTTTTTTGAGAATTTCGACAAACTAAATATACAGATCGATAGAGAATTAAATTCTGAGTACAACTGTATAAAAAACTCATTTTCGGTATTTTGTCCTTTACGACCTTTGAGCCCAGAGGTATCGTCGATACCTNTTTGCAAAAATACTCGAAACGACAGATCGATAATTGACGGGGTGAATCAGCAGAAGGCGCCACGCGCACCGAGAACAGCACACCGAGCCACCGCCAGAGGGTTCTACTAGTACCAAAACAAAGAAATAAATCGAGAATCATGGAAGAAATTATGATTGCACTTAAAAATATACAAAAAGAACTTGATGAACAAAAATCTGAGATTCGTAAAAGTGCAGATAAGGTAACAGAACGGGTTACACAGAATATTAACAAAATATTGGAAGAAAAATTTTTGAAGCTGCAAGACCAACATGATAAACTGAAGGAGAAGGTAGAAAATCAAGAGAAAAGAATATACTTTTTAGAAAAACAGGCAAGACAACGAAATGTTGTATTTTTTGGTATTGAAGAAAAAGAATCATCATATGATAACCTTCAAAACAATATTGTCAGCTTTATAAAAAAATACTTTAACACTGACATAGAACTCAGAGATATTCAAGAGGTAAGACGAGTTGGGAAAAAAGGAGACAGACCTCGTCCTATAATTGTGATCTTTTCAACTCTTGGAATAAAAATTAATATTATGAAGAACAAAGGGCTACTAAAAGACACACAATACTATTTGAAAGAAGACTACCCCTTACAAGTTTTAAAAAAACGAAGAGAGCTACTAGAACAGGCGAAAATAGAAAAAGAGAAAGGTAACGATGTGAGAATAAAATATGACAAGTTGGTTATACTAAAATCTAATAACAAAAGATCACTCCCAACATCACCAGAAAACACACTAACAGCAGAATGCCAGTCGAAAAATAATACCAACACACAAGCCCATAAAAAGAATCGAACGCAGAAATCAAATAAACCAGTACAAAGGTCAAACAGCTTATCCGAAGGGGGCATAAAGCCGAGCATGCTCAACTTTTTGGTAAACAAAAATATCAACAACACAACAACAGAGCAAAAAAATGATGAGAAGACAAGCAGCATATAGCAATCAATCCATCCCTCCCGCACGAATACTATAAGCAAACAACATAAAAGAAACAACGGAAAACAACATCTTCCAACCCGGCTGGTCACCGTGGAAGATTTTGACCAAAACCCTCCGAAGAAAATCACACAGATTGAGAGATTAATAAGACATAATAAAAGTTCATCCCAATTAAAAATCGCAACATATAACGTCAGGACCCTATCGTCACACGAACGTTTGCTGGAATTAAACGAAGCAATAAGGGAAATAAATTATGACGTAATTGGTATCTCAGAAGTGAGACGACTTGGTAATAAAATTGAGGAATACGATAACTTAATACTCTGCCACATAGGATGCACACCAGGTGAATATGGAGTAGGCTTCATTATTAACAAGTCTCTAAGAAACAACATAGAAAGCTTCATCGGTCTAACAGATCGTGTGGCATTACTTAACTTAAAACTCCAAGAATTTATGTTATCCATTATACAAGTGTACGCACCTACTGAATCCGCAAAAGAAGAAGAAATAGAGGAATTTTACAAAACCATCGACAAAGCTATGGAAATCACATATAAAAACATAATACTAATGGGCGACTTCAACGCGAAGGTTGGTGCTCCCAAAGAAGGTGAATACTTAACAGTTCAACAACATGGAGTCGGCACAAGAAACGATAGAGGGCAGAGACTTGTAGACTACGCACTTGAACACAATCTAACTATCATCAACACATGCTTCAAGAAAAACTGTAGCCGAAGATGGACGTGGCGATCCCCAAATGGACAGCACAAAAATGAGATCGACTTTATACTATCCAACCAACGTAAAATTTTCAAGAATTTTGAAGTCATGAATATAAACTACCCATCAGATCACCGACTAATTAGAGCATCAGTAGAAATAGGCAAACAAAAACAAAGTAGAGTAAAATTCACAAACAAAAACTTTTGCCAACTAAAGACCAAAGACGAAATGACAAGATACAATAAAAATCTAATGTCAATGTTACCCTACCTAACCGACAACTTGAACAATACATCAGTACAGGCCTATCACGACAAAATAGTAAATACTATCAGTCAGAGTTTGCAAAAAGCTAGAGAAAATAAGAGAGAGACACATAGATATCACAAAATACTATCAGATCGCACGGCTCTGTTACTGAAAAGAAGAAAAGAATTACAAGAAACAAAAAACAAATCCCGATCTATGAAAAATGAACTTTCTGCTCTTTACAAAATAACAAACAAATACATAAAAAAGGATTACGCTAAATATAGAGAAGACACTATAGAAAGTCATTTACAACACACAGGAAGCACAAAGAAGGCATTTAAGGAACTTAGAACGAGCAAGACTTGGATAGAAGGACTTAAAACACAAGATAGAACTTTGTGCAAGCGCACTGACATTATAAATGCGGCATCAGACTTCTATAGAAAACTGTACAGTGACAGTGACAGGTCTCAAAATAGCAACATCTCAAACATGAATGAAAATAAAAACGAAAGGTATGTAAAACCAGTGGATGAATCGGAAGTCATAGAAGCAATAAGAAGCTTGAAATTAGGGAAAAGCCCTGGATCGGACAACATCACAAATGAAGTATTGAGACTAGCACACAAAATATTAGCCAGACCATTAGTAGAACTATTTAACTTAATACTACAAACCTCTGAAACACCCACACAATGGTCTGAATCAGACATCATACTTATCTACAAAAAGGGTGACCCGAAAGATATTGGCAACTACAGACCAATAAGCTTGCTACCGAGCCTCTACAAACTCTTCTCTACCATTATAAATAAAAGAATCAGCAGTACACTGGAATTAAAACAACCAATAGAGCAAGCAGGTTTTAGGAAGGGATTCTCAACAATTGACCATATCCACACACTAGAATTAATCATAGAAAAGTACCAAGAACATCAAAGACCGCTATACATAGCATATATCGACTATCAAAAGGCTTTTGATACAGTAACACACTCAAGTATATGGAACAGCTTAAGACAACAGGGTGTGGAAGACATATATATAAAAGTCATCCAAAGCATATATAAAAATAATAAAGGCAGAATTAAGCTTGAAACTCTCGGACCAAGCTTTGCTATAGAAAGAGGCGTGAGACAGGGCGACCCCTTATCTCCAAAATTATTCATAGCCATCTTGGAGGCTATCATCACCAAGATAGACTGGAGTAAGTCAGGCCTGTATATAAATGGCGAATACCTAAGTCACTTAAGATTCGCAGACGACCTAGTGTTGCTATCAGAATCGAGCACTCAGTTACAGCAAATGATGGAAACTCTACATTTGACAAGTACCAAGGTGGGATTGAATATGAATCTCTCAAAGACTATGGCAATGACAAATAGACAGAGAAGGATATTAACAATAAATGGAGTGCCACTCGAATATACAGATTCGTACATATATCTAGGGAAGCAAATTAGTTTTGATCGGAAAAATAACGAAATGGAAGTAAAAAGAAGAATACAACAAACTTGGAACAAATATTGGAGTCTAAAGGAAATTTTTAAAAGTAACTTCCCTATTACCATTAAAACGAAAGTTATGAATACCGGCCTTCTACCAAGCTTGACGTACGGTTGCCAGACGTGGAAATTCACTGCAAAAATAAAAAACCTAATTACCACTTGTCAAAGAGGACTGGAGCGCAGCATGCTTAAAATAAAGAAATTAGACAAAATACGACACACAAAAATAAGGTCAATAACCNAAATCTATATATATAAAAATGAAACCCGTTTCGCGTTGTCACGGCATCACGTGTGAACGGCTGAACCGATTTCGATAATTCTTTTTTTTAAATGTTTGTGGAAGTCCAAGGATGGTTCTTACGGAAAAAAATATTAAGAAAATCTCTACGCTAAGGCGGTACGAAGTTCGCCGGGTCAGCTAGTACAAAATATTAATTAAAATACAAATACCTCATATCAAAATAAACTTTGAGTTTAGCTCTATAAGCCCATATATTTTTTTTTACAAATATTTGCGTAACTAATTGTAGACACCCCAAAATAAAATTTCAACTTTGATCGCGTTTTTCTCGAAACTGTTCAAGTGTTACTTACTGCGTTTATAAATTGTGCGGCAGTACGTATTACTTATTTATACTTTACAAGTTCAATTCAATGTGGTAAATCGATAATGCAGGCAGAGTCCTTGAGAAATAAACTTTTATCTAAGTAGGTACATAGCATAATAAGGTACTTGATACAAATAAGGCCTACCTAACTTTAAATGCTTATAATTCAATAAATATTAACGCCAATTAACAAAAACAAGGTTAATTATCTTCTTCCATCCTTTAATTTTAGCAATATTACAAAAAATAACAACTTTTTTAACTAAATCTATTCAAAATAAGCAAATTACGAAACCACTGATTTTGGCTTTATTAAATCACCTACACGGAATAAGGCCTACATGATTCAAATGCCTCTAGACCTTAAAATTGAGGTTGTATTAAACAAAATGCGGTCTTATAACATTAAACACGTCGATTTGTTTGCGTTATCAAAATTTTACATACCAAGTAAACAGAAATATACTGTACATCTCTAGATAAACTTAAATTCCACTTATTAAGAATTATACATAAATTATAGATAAAATTATATATTCATAGTAACAAAGTAACGATTCCTTACATATATTATCCAAAAAAAAATCAAAATCAAACAATATTGTTTTTTTGTATAGGGCTTATTAAAACACCGTGTTCGAATAAGGCCTACACATAAAACCTTTTAAATAAATCAGTTTATGAACATTATTTAGTCTTGAATTTTTGTAAACAAAATGAGATATCAATTTTTGTTAGAACCAGGGCATAAAAAGGCTTCTGAATCATCTTTGCGAACTCCTACACAATACTTGTGATACCACCTAAAGCAGTCATTTATGGTCGCGTATCTGCTACTTTGTCTTCGAAACAGGCATGATAATACCAGCTTTTATTCTCCTTTCCTTAAGAATTATACATACGGCTTCTTTTTTCTTATTTTTTATTGTTTTTGCATTTTGTTTCTTTTTTTACAGGTTTTGTAATTTTTTTTGACACTGTTTTCTTTTTCTTTTCTATGCTGTTAGTAACATTATTATTAAATAAATATTTTGTTACTCTTTGACTCATTTAGTTTAATGAATTTGTCCGTAATCAGGTGTTAACATAAGTATCTAATATGGCCTACCATGCGGAAATAAGGCCTAGGCCTTATTAGATATCTCGCTCTTGTTGTCTTTAAAAATTTACAAATAATGCATCTATAGCCAGTAGTACAAATTAAGGTAATTATTAGCTAGTAAGATGTATTTAGAAACGATTACTAAGAAAAGCTTAATCTAAAACAGCGTCATTTTACCGAAAACTTAAGATGAAATCGCCGGATTTTTATAAGGGAGCACGAAATCACCCACCACCTTAGAAGAACGCGTGCCAATTGGTGCTGGGATCGTGGATCGGGATGCTCTAGCACTCTACTGGGTTATAGGGCATATGAGTACGTGTCCTTGCAGTATTGTCCCGGTTGGATTTATTTATCTGTGTTTTCTGATGTATAGGCCTTATTAGAACGTAGGCCTTATTTGTATCAAGTACCTTACATAAAGGCTTCTGCCCACGATTTTACCCGCGTGGAGGTCTGTCATAGAACGGTTTGTCACTCTTCTCGACAAAAATCTATCTTTATCTTTTATTTTCTCACTTTAAGATTAAGTTTAATAGCAATAAAATGTACCTACCTGCTGTCATTTTTCTGGGTCTATCTCTCCATACCAAAATTAACCAAAACGGATTAGTACTTACTTGTGATGTCATCCAGCCAGGTATAGGGAACAGTGTGTATAATAAATATTAAGAATATGGACTATGGATGAATTTAATAAAAAAACACTGTCAAAATATGAAATGTAATGAAATGTCGGATTAAAATTGTTGCGCCCATTTGAGCAAAATATCTGTCTGCATTCCTTGTCGAACTCGACTATGTTGTAGGTAGGTCTAGGTGTATACCATTTATTCCTTAAATTTCCGGGCGGAAATACAAATAGTTCGGCTTCAGTTAGTTTAATTAAGTTTGGTGTAAAAATGCAGTCGAAACAATATTAAAAGGGATCAATAAAACAGGAGATTTAAATCACAAGAGAAATTCAGATAGCCTTATCGTACCAGACCTAATAGTTTTTAACCGCGAAATTCATATGAATTCGAAATAATAATGTCATTTACATTATTTTTATTTCTAGCAGTTCATGTCATGAAAAAGTAGAAAATTTTAATGTGTCAGTTCATCTTCGAGGTTTTTGATTAATTTAGGTATTTGAAATATTAAATTGAAGGTCGAAAATGGCCTGAATTGCTTCGAGAAAAGGATGGTACGGCCGTGCCGCTTTTTTGCTCGACTTGGTGGGGGCACTGCCAGTGCCCCCAGATTGAATTAGATTAAACCACTGAACATACGAGTAACTTACGTTTGCGTTGCTATAAAAACTTGTCAACTTTCGTATGTACTCTGCCTTATTTAAAAGCAAAACACAGTGGTCATGGGAATTACCGTTCCCTAAATACTTATATGTCTTGTTTGCATTGTATCATCCCGAAAGAATGTTTGAATGCCTATAAATAAAATGAGATATTTATGGACTCGCTAAATATTTTATTAATATTTAACACAAATATCTCTCACAACAAAATAATTCGTCGTCTTTAAGATAGACCAACAGGGTTATCGCATCGTCATGAGTTATGTAACAACAAAAAGGTAACGATAGTGTGATCTTTCTTTATTGGGTTCTTAATTAATGTAAGGAAAAATAAGGAAACACATCTATTTTCTCAGTAAAAAGGTGTTGCTATACGGGAAACGTGTGGCACTGTAAGTGAAGCCAAAAGTTGGATGTGAAATAATAACCCTTAAGTTCAAGATAAAACATAGTTGTGTGTGTGTGTGACCTAAATTATTAAAGTAACAAATATAACGTGGTTAGTTATCGTAACTATTTCTAGTGTCTATTTTACCCGAACTTTGTCAATTTCAGGATTTTTATGCTCTACCTACGTTTCAGGCAACGGAGGTCCACCGCTGGATAAAGACCTCCCCAAAGGAATTTCACAACGAACTCGTTGAACAAAGTTCGTTGAATAAAGTCGTAAACAACATACAATGCACGCTTATTTAACATAGCTGTGTCAAATTCTCAAAAATCATAATTTATGTAATTATAAATAAACATTTTAAATTAATGTAGAGCAACTTATTATATTTAAATATAGCAATATCACACGCATCAAGCTCAAACCGTTTAAAGATCTCGTGGACCTAATTTTGGCGACTAACATTCTTGGGAGATCCACGTTAAGTAAACATTTAAATTCGTCGAAATACCTAACTACGATTAAGATAAAATAGGTTATGGTCCTGCATCTTTTTATTGTTTGGCGTGTCATGTAGAAGGGAAACTCCCTAGTCCCGAACCTTATCTTTTTTGTATAAATTCCAGTCTCTCATACTTTGGTACTCATTTGTAAAACGATAATTGTTAGAGAAAAGTTATATTTGTGGTGTGTCTTTAAAATTAAAATGAAATTCTTCAGTATAATTGCCGTATTAATGGCCGTGATATGTTTATTTTCGGTGAACTCCGCACCCGCTCCTGCCCCAGTCCCTGGCAAGTTAACGGCTATCAAGACAGCCGGTCGATATATTGTAAGTAATCTGTTTATATTACAAACACACCCACGTTTATCATGGACCTATAACGACAGATTTTAATACAATATGACATGAGTATGTAACTGGATATTGGATATTTAATAAGAATGAGGGAATAGTAAGTGGCCAGTGGCAAAAACGTATAAGCTAATTTATCTTTCTACGAGTAATATTGGCACACAGACAGATAAATCATCTCTTATTTGTTAATCTCTCCAAAGCATGGAATTCTTACTTTCTAAGTAGGTATTTCGCAGTATGTCATTATGGGTCTAATTCTGAAATAAACATTGTATACTTCGAGGAGACTGCGAGGAAATACTTTAACGTTGGTGTTTCGAGATTTTTCTGATAAATTGTTGAATTCATGAGATGGAATTTGTGATCTTTTCCTTCCTAGATGCAACCTAATGGATTATAGATACTTTATTGTGGTTTTATTAAAACGCCATTAAACCAGCCACTACATTGTCTAGGCAGCTTTACCTGCGCATTATGGTTTCCCCATTAATGTAGGTACAGTCGACAGTACATTAATCTGTTTTTGCTGCAAAATAGCATCTATTAACTGTACATAAGATGCCAGTGATTAGCCTGATGTGCCGTCGTCTGTACTCAGATAATATAAACGTCTATCGACACGGTGTTGCGAGACTCATATATCATGTAAATTAATACCTCGCTATTGAACAGTTTAAGATAGGACGTACTCTTGGGTAATTGAATAATAATCCTTGAATACAGATTGCTCATATTAGCAGTACCCATAATTGGAACCAATATTGCTTCTGGGAATATTTTCAGTACACCATCCTTGAAATTGTAATTAGTGGCCGTATTAAAAGAAGGAATCCACTACTAATAGATCCCTCCGTACTATGCTATGTCTATGTTATTGGCTAGGTCATTAGATACCTTTTTACTTTTATTAATGAGTTTTCTAATTGGTTTCAGGGGAAAGGTCTGAAAGCGATTGGCGCAGCAGATGCAATTTACGACGGATATCGCTTCATCACTGGGAAAAAACACTAACTAAATGGCTCGTTTACGATTTTTAGCACTTACATCATAGTATTCTTATTTTAGCAGTCATGTTGATTTTGTTAGAGCTAGATTAATAGTCAATGCAAATAAAGAAACGCATTACCTACTTAGGCTGGGTTGCATAATCTTAATTTGACTTTAACAAACGTCAAAAATCTGTCAAACTCGCTACATACAACACCGGTTATCGTTATAGTTACTGTTAAAGTTAGGTGGTGCAACTCAGCCTTTATACTAATAAATTATAACCTGAGAGTCGAATATATTTAGTAATTACACATTATATTGAACCAAATTAATTGATAGCCTTTTAGCGATAAGGATTTGGGCATTTTAATTACTGTAAACCTACGTATTATTAAGTTTACGGTTAGTGATCCCTATGTAATAATTATACGATATCGATAAGGGGTGTGTATTAATACACTTAAATGAGTTTAATATTATTAATAAACTTATAATTACATTTACGAAGTTTCAATTAATATACCTCCTCGTGTGCAACATAAATTAATTAAATATTTTATAACTCATGGCTGTCATTCTTTGCGTTGTATTGTTGTGTTATTGAAACAAACTTAAATCCGAGTTAATTAAGCGAGTTATATGAGTACAAAACAATGGTGGGCCTTATATTTTGTTAAATTCCCTACCAATCGATTATAGGTTTTAAATAAGTTAGATTGGAATTTCTTGAAATGCAAAGGATTTTATTTTCCAATAACTTATTAGCTTCATAAGCGGGCTTTGGCGAATTTCATTAGTAGTCTACGCGGGGCTTCATAAGCCTGTCTGGGCTGGGTGTAAAAGAGGCTGCGTGCAGATCAGTTCTACATATTTATTCCAAGTTAGACGACGTATTAAGGTTTTATGAGCTATCATTCTTCTTTACACTCACGCTGTCATTTAAAAAGTCGAATTACTTACATAGCTCAGTAAGCAAAAACATAACCCATAAACATAAAGGTAAAACAAAAACAAATTTTATAGTATTTTATACAAGATCGCATAAGGCACAACAGTAATCGACTCTACTAACAATCAACAGTATGTACAGAGGTAGGTATGTACCTACATGTAATAATTATTACATAATATTCAATATAGCAATTATTTTAACAATTAATGCTGATGGGCAGCATTAATTGTTAAAATACCATTGATTAATTGATGTCTATTTCTTTTGTTTCAAAGGAAAATACATCAGTAAAAGGAAAAGAAAACATACCTGCGTCTGATCAAGATTTTCCTCATCTCTCAGATGTCCAATCAGATTACTCAAAGGAAACCAAATTGGTGCTTTACTTACTGTCGCAAATCTGTAACGCAAATCCGTGACTGTATTTTCGGCTTCATTTTTTCTCTTACTCTCTCTTTATACTCTCCTTTTATAGCATCACTGCAATGTATCAAGTCCCAGATAGGGCCAGAAACACTGGAATTGTAATGCACAAACAAGGATCTAGTTAATTAAAAAAAAACACTACATCACTACATAAGTATTATGTAGATATATACAGGGTGTTAGGTAAATGGGTATATGAGCCGACACTAGCCCATGTTAACACGGGCATATAAATGGTATGGTGAAGTCAGAAAATTGATATCTTCATTTTAATTATTTTAATTTTCATACAAATCGGAATTAAAAAAAAATATTTTGTATGAAAATTAAAAAAAATAAAATGATGATATCAAATTTCTGACTTCACCATACCATTTATATGCCCATGTTAGCATGGGCTAGTGTCGGCTCATATACCCATTTACCTAACACCCTGTATATGGGTCATTCCACAAAAATATGTCAACTCTTAGTCCGCGCCACATTTCATATGAAATATTTGCTAATATTTTATTCCAAAATTGTTAAATAACAGCTCGCAATGTGCTTTATTCATCACCCATTTATATTTTTTGAAACTATTTTTAAAACATCTTAAATTCCTTTTGAATGACCCAAAACGTCATTCCCTAGGCATGTCCGTACTCCAAAAGTTTATGTTTTGGGACCCACATTTATAAAAACATCAACTTTATCCTTTGTGTTAATTAACGAATAATCTATTTAAATGTATATTACACCAAATTCTATTAATATTTTGCGGTTTCAATAAACAATAATTTGATTTTCTTTAGTTGAAAAAGAGTCTACAGCTTTTAGCGTCATTCCCTCGCCACGCACTGATTTTATAATTTTGCGCTTTAATATGTATTTAGAGTGAATGACATTTAGTTGAGTTTAAAGTACGATACGAAGTTATCCTCAGACCATACTGGCTTTGCGGTAGCCGTTTTTTGAATTAGTGCAAACGTGCCAGTTGTTGCGGAAACATGTGTTAATCCAGTCACTTCGTCAGTCCCTAGTTGAGTAGCTTTATTGATTACAATAGGAAATTGTATATAATTTAATAGTATTTACGTGTGGTTTTTTGGCTATTTTCGGCACATCGTATTAAGCATCTTATAATATAAAGTTAATCTGCATTTGTGTTAAGTTTTACTCCAAATCGTCAGTCCCTAGAGCGTCAGGCCCTAGCTTTAAACGGCACTTGGGACTAAATTACTAGTTAGGGAATGATGTTTTTTATATAGTGATAATAACAAAACAACTACATTATGTGTATTAACTTATCTATAAATGTTAAGGTTATAAGTTTTATACTTTATTAGAAGTCATATAGGAGTAATGTAGTATGAAAAAATTGAAAATTATAATTTCTCCTAAAATAAAGCATAAAGTGACTGGCCCTTTCGGACATAACATAATTAATTAATAAACTATAATTTACACTAATAAAGTATTCAAAAGCATCTTAAAAAAGTTACGGACAAAATGACGTCGAAAATATACAGATTTTTATGGAATGACCCATATAACAAAGTGGCTTTCCGCTGTCTGCCCCTATGTAGGTATGCTTAGATCTTTAAAACTATGCAATAGATTTTGATATGTTTTTTTTTAAAGATAGAGTGATTCAAGAGGAAGGTTCTTATACTTAGCACCAGTGCGAAGCCGGGGCGGGTCGCTAGTTAAGTATAATTCTGTAATTATGCCCTTTTGTTTTGTTTTTAGACTTTTTACTTTGAATATGAAGTAAAGTTTTTTTTTTTCAATATTTAATATTGACGTCCCAATCAATCAACTCGCACGGCATACGTAATGTAGCAAGACTAGCAAGTGTCTACGTTATGTGCTTACGTTTTGTTCTATTACTTTGATTATCATAATCCCAACTAATATTATAAATGCGAAAGTAACTCTGTCTGTCTGTCTGTCTGTCTGTCTGTCTGTCTGTCTGTCTGTCTGTCTGTCTGTTACGCTTTCCCGCTTAAACCTCGCAACCGATTTTGATGAAATTTGGCATAGAGATAGTTTGAGTCCCGGGAAAGAACATAGGATAGTTTTTATCCCGGTTTTTGAAACAGGGACGCGCGCGATAAAGTTTTTCTGTGACAGACAAAATTCCACGCGGGCGAAGCCGCGGGCGGAAAGCTAGTTTAGAATAAAGCGTATTAATTTGGCAACGTGAGCTGTGTGAAATGGGCTGTAAATTACAAAGCTAGGCCCACAATGTGTGAGCGAAAAGCAATTATTTTCTTCATTAGGCAATTTCGTTTTCCCCACATAATTTATTTGCTGTATTTGCATCGATTTTGTAATTAAGATATTAATTTGTAAATCAAAATATTGGTTGAAAATGCCAATACATTATGGACATTTAGAATGAGATTGGATGAAGTTATATGAAACTCTTTTTTGAAGCCGTAAGCTTTATATCATACTGAATATTTATTTCTTGCAACTGACGAAGGCGAGCGAGGTTTACAGGAAAAGATGCCAAATAATTCATTATAGGTGATTCTGTTGGGATCGATTCATTAATATATGTGAGATTATTTTTCCTATAAGAGATCCGGATAACCTATCATCAACTACTTAATTAGGAATGATCAACTGGTATTTCTCTAAGGATAGTTATTTTTATGTTTTCTTATCTGTTAGTGATCATTTTATCTTTTCTTTCCATTTTTTGCGTTTAGCACAAGTTTATTGAACTTAGAAAAGTTACTATAAATAACATATATTATGTTATCTTCTGATCATTAATATCTACGTATAAGTATGTATAATCTGGTATTATTACTACTTGGAGCACAAAATAAGCTATCATCATTAAGTTGGTTAACCCACAGGGAATTGAGTAATTTGCTATCTTCATACAAAAGTGGGTCGTGACATCAGATCGGTTAGTATATTTTTTTGATACTGAACAATTAATTAGTTCACTATAATTATTATTGTAGATTAGTGTGAGTGAATTTGTCTCACAAAAATTTGTTTAATTTTAAACCATAATTTAATTACAAAAGACACAGTCAATTCACCTCCATCTATTACCTCTCATTACCATTACCCTAGGTAATCATTTTAGGTAAAAGAATGTGCTTTTGCCTAGAATATAAATAAATGATTATTGGTTATTCAACAGCCTGATCAAAATAAAAAGACATTGACATTTGAAATAAAATATTTTCCAACTCATTTACGCATTTCTTTAATGATTAAAATTGTGTTAAATCGACAAACCTTTTTTGAAGTTAAAGCATGCAAATTGGTTTGAAAGCTTTTGTAATAATTAAAAAGCAATTAATGTAAATGATTTGAAAAGGTTAGAGGGGCATGAAATCTGGTAGAAAATCGGTTTTCTTATATAAAAAAAGAAAAAACGTTAACCAGACCTTTGGGATATCGATATTAAAGATAATTTCAAATGTTTAAATACATACTTACTATAATTACGTAAAAATAATGTGACAATAATTATGAGAACACGTAATAGTAGCCTCCTACTGGTTTTTTTGTCAATAATATTGATGAAATTAGCAGTAATTAATTTTACAGGAAAATTGTTGATGTTATTTGCTTTATCGGACTTCCCATTAAATTATTAAAGCGTAGTAGAGTAGGTATCATTATAATGGAATTTAACAATGCAAAGTATAATTATTCAGCTGACAGATGAGTGTAAAACTTAATATAAACAAATAAGAGACAAACACAAACAAACGATTCATACATTATTCATGTTTTACTTATTGATAACGGGCAAAGAGATGTGTGACTCAAAGGCGTGATAACCTATTCCGTGGGTAAGTAAGTATTAAGATATAGTTCAATAGGTACGGCGGCTGCTTTATTAACTGGTAACCTACTGAGCAGACACACCCACTTTAGGGGGCTACATTTTGGAATTTGGAAGACAGTGTGTATGAATTAAACAATAAAAATGTGACACATCCTTTTGGGTAAATACGCTTCATTTGTTTTACTCGTACAAGTAACTCACGAAGACATTTTCCCTGTGCGCTCACTTATAAGCGCGACTTTGGTAGCGCTCACGTCACTCGCTTGTAGAGGCTTGCATTAGACGGGAAAATGAAGGTCGTTGCTTTAATTCTGATTGTGGCGCTTTGCTGCGAGCAAATATGCTGCGCCACAACTGCCGCCAACCCAGCCATCTCTAGCACCACTCCAAAGCCATGGACTAAGAAAATTAAAGACGGATTGGTGTGTATTACAATTTAAGCACTTACTATTTAATCTTAGTACTGTAATGTTTTAGGCTAAGCTAGGTCTTAGTGAAATTGGCTGCGCACCAAATTTTTTATTAATTTTAATGAAATTGTAATGAGGAAAGCTCTGAAGTTTAATTGAATATTCATGGATCTTAATACATTAATCGGTCTTTTTAATGAGGTTTTTGAATAACATAAGTACTTATTGTTACTTTTTGATCGTTTACTTCATGATGCCCAAATTGAAAAAATAAACTTACTTTTTTATTTGATGTATCTTTTCAGAGTACATTTCTTCAGGGAGCTGCCGTAGTTGGTGCCTTCCAAGGTGCTTACCAGAATCACAAGAGTTCCAAAATTAAACCTCCTCACGATGCCAAACCTTAATAAATTATACAATGTTAGCCTAAAATGCATTTTAATTAAGACAGTTACCCGCCGGGACACAATTACCTAATACGAGCACCTACCTACTTATTAATGTTAATATGAACAAAATCAAAGTATTCATTAAATACGAACAAAGTAAATGAATAGGTGACAGGGGAAATTCATATTAGTATTTATGATAAGTGGATAGGTACCTATTATAAAGAGGAAAGCTTTGTAAGTTGGTAAGTAGGGAATAATCGCTAAGACTATACTGAACTACCTCTTTTACTAGTAGATAAGTAGATACTATTTACATTATTATTATAGATTATATTTTTCTGTCGAAAGACACGCGACGCGAAGCGGCTGGAAAAAGCTTCAAACTTGGTGACAGATAAAGAGATTGCCTTTTCAATATTTTTTTACCAAAATAATACTGAATTTTCATCAAGATGAAATACTTACGTAACAAGATATCAACACAGATCATGTAAAAAATAAATTCGCCAGTGTCTTCCAATTCTGAGAACCCTCGATCCCTTTAAATAAGTGAACACCGAATGAAATCAAACACCGTTGCTGCTAAAAATATACCAACAATGCAAGAATAGCGCCTTTTGTAATGTATTGCGGTATTTTGCAGTAACCTTCACGCATTTAAGTCATGTGACACATCATAAAATGTGAAGGCATCAGCGGCGAAATGTGATGCGCTGGTCTAACTGGCCAGCGTCCAACAAAGGAAGTGTCAAGAGTTATGAGCAACCCTTAGTCAACTGCTATGTTAGTGAGCTAGTTGGATACTTACTTTGCTCCTTGTCGTTTTTGTAAGAAATCACTGAACTTTTTTCCACCGCGCGACTTTCCTGTTAACCCTCATTACCGTTTTTGCTCCTGTTACAAGTGTCACAAAAGCGATGCTCGTGTGGTACTTTTTCTGAAAATCAGTCATCATTTTGTTATTTCTTATCTTTTTTTGTAAGACTAGGAAATAGACGTTAAAAATTAAGGGACAATACGTACCTCAAACCTCCGAAAATGAATCAGAAGATTATTGGTTGTTATTATTTCGAATGTTCAGATACTCGATTCTCATTGAAGAAAAGCGCGCGGATTTTCTGACCACAGCTTAAAAAGAATACGCTTCAATGAGGCTGAGATGCGCGAACAGACTTTCTTTAAAACATTAAATTGTTACAAAAATTAAACACCTCATGGATAAACTGAAATATTGGATCTATTTAAAATTATAACAGTTATAACTTTAAGTTACTGTTAGTAAGTATTTATTTACTCTGTTTTAAATTTAATTATGTAAGCTTTTGCCCGCGGCTTCGCCCGCGTGAAATTTAGTTTGTCACAGACCGTCATAAATTATAGCCTATAATATGTTATTCTGGGTTATAAACAATTATACTGTAAAGTTTCATCAAAATCCGTTCAGTAGTTTTTGCGTTAAAGAGTAACAAATATCCAGACATCCAAACTTTCGCAATTATAATATTAGTAGGATAGCTCTGAAAACTGTGAAGCTCTAGCTAGAACATTGTCTTAAGCTATTGTTGGAACTTTTTAACCTTGACTTTTTTAATTTATTACGACTAATCTTTCAGTTTAAGGAATTATCCGATCTTTAATGCTTCTGCATTAGTTAAGATCATAATATTTTGAATCACTTACGATATTTACTTTTGGTCTCACTGCGGTGACAGGCTTGAATATTTATGAACATTATTTCATAGAGCATTTAGGATTCATGAATATCTAAGTACATAAATAAACTCAATAAAAATATAATTATTGCTTTTTATTTAGAAATATGGACTTTGAAAGAAATTAAGTTGAAATATATTTTAGAATTATTTTCTTGAAGTATTGAGAAGATGATTCCGTTTCTCTAAGACAGCATCGTACTTTGCCGTTATGGTTTTCACTTCCTCATCCATTTCGGATTTCCCTCTGAAATAAGATTTCAATATTATTCGTCATAAAGTGAAAATTAAATAATGCTTTCCAATTAAAGTCTTAATTAGTTTTAATTCATAAAATCGACTGCATAATCTACAGGGTGTTAGGTAAATGGGTATATGAGCCGACACTAGCCTATGTTAACATGGTGATATAAATGGTATGGTGAAGTCAGAAATTTGATAATCATCATTTTATTTTTTTAATTTTCATACAAAATAAATTTTATAAAATCCGATTTGTATGAAAATTAAAATAATTAAAAGGAAGATATCAATTTTCTGACTTCACCATACCATTTATATGACCATGTTAACATGGGCTAGTGTCGGCTCATATACCCATTTACCTAACACCCTGTATACTTATAATAAATCTGTAAAGAGGTCAATTCTGTACATGAAATATATTTTCAAAATAACTATCAGGGGGTGATTAGTGATCGATACTGATGCCAAAAAAGCAATCAGTAAAATTTTTGTCTGTCTGTCTGTCTGAATTTTCCTTATAGAAACAAAAACTACTCGACGGATTTTAACGAAACTTGGTACATAACAAACTCTGCTTTAAAGTGAGTCTTGGAATATTATGAAAAGTTTCAATTCCATTGACTTTTAATATTTTCAAGATTTACTTTTGAATATCTGCTCTATAATGTCTTTCTATTCATTCATTCAAATAAAGCCACTAGTGTAGAAAACTTGCGAATTCACCAGAATAGATTTGAGCCGGAATATTTATTGCCTACCTTAGGTAAGTTTTGGTCGTTATTTCAAAAAATATTTTTATATTAAATCCTCATTTCTGTGTTATTACAAATATTATTGAAAAGACAGTACTCAATTATGATGTAATAAGAAAAGGTTTTATAAAAGAATGGCGCCTTGGGTCGAAATTGGATAATCATTCTGTTATCCAATGAGTGATGAGTTGTTGCCTTTAATTTAATGATATCTTTTACATTCAAAACAATCTACTTAGTTTCTTTTCTGTTTTGTCTAGAGTCTAGACCTATATTTATCCAAGTAATTACTCTTAATACCTACCTAACAACATTGTTGTAACTTTAGATAAAATAACAATGAAATGGCCCTCTAGATTTCATGATAAAAATGGTTTCCCTTCTACGTAACAGTTTCTGGGGGAAGAGGTGTAATAAAACGAACAAAGGCTCTATTATGACCAAGGTAATGTTATGCAAAGATATTCTTAAACGATTGAAATAAAACTATCTAGTTACGGTAGTATGACAAGTTGACAACTGCTAATAGAACTTGACAAGGTGAAATATTTAGGCTGAGTTGCACCACCTAACTATAACAGTAACTATGATGATAACCGGTGTGTTTTGTATGGAGTTTGACAGTTTTTTGACGTTTGTCAAAGTTAAAGTAAGATGGTGCAACCCACCCTTAAAGTAACAAGTGAAATAATTTGATGAAGATGAAAAAAAATTAAAAGGTGGGGAGAAATATTAGTAATTCCCAAGACAACGCCCCGTAATGGTTGGGATGACAAAGATAAATGTGGCAGGATGAATAATCGTGAAATATTTACAATATTGCTAGCAGGTTTTCCGGCACTTCGGCTTGGAGCTCGTCCAGTGTACGTTTTAATTCGTCCACGATGTTTTGGTGATTCGTCATTTCGTCTTCAAGATCTTTTATTGAATTATTTGCTTTTTCCAATTCTGCTTTCATTTCGTCCTCATTCTAATAAAAGTTAGATTGTATTTATTACTTTAATGAGAAGGCGAGACGGCACAAAAACAGTTCATCACAAAAACAACAAGGCTTCAAGCCCTACGCTTATGAAAAAATGTTTCTAGTGAACTCGTTTATTAGGTATTTACAATATTTCTAAGTTTTTCTCATACATAAAAATTAGAAACATTTCAATAGGTACTCGTATGTAACTTGAATTTAAATTGTTATTTATAAGTTAACATTTTACCAAACTTTATATAAAATAACAGACCTGTTTCGCAACTATGTAGTTCTGCTCAAACAATAAACAGAACTCAAAGCAAATGAGTGTTGTTTGAATTAACGTTTGGACAAATGTAGCCACGGAAAATTCTATTAGAATGCTAATTAAACAAAGATTTATAGACGCGCTGAGATTCATTAGCATAGATCCTCCAAAAACAATAAGGATTAAAAAAAACTCAGACTGTAAGATTTAAAATAATTTTCAGCCAGTTTCTGGTAGTACTTACATAAAACGAGCTTGTTTTTCTAAAACGCTCCGCTTTTTCACGTAAAGAATCTTCATATTTCCGTCTGAAAAATAAAAGAGGTAATTTAAAATTAGATGCTCGGTATGAAATCATGAGATATGTGATAGTACTCTACGTACATAAGAAGGTGTTTGTTACAAAATGACTCCTATTATTATAAAAGGCTCATAAAATCTCTCAGTGTGCGTCATATAGGTACCTACCATCAATATAATAAAAGTATAATTATTTTCCTCAAATTTTTTTTCTCGTATTCCCCTTTATTTTTACCTTGTTTCATCGATTCATCCTACGCCATCGTTATTTCTCATTCAAAGCAAGTCGAAGATTAATATTAATATCGTTATTAGCTTTGGAAGGGAACTGATAGGGTAATGCCTATTAAAGAGCCCATGTCATCCTAATTTATTCTACAAAGCAACAGTGATGGAATTTAGATGAAATTATTTGACAGTTATTTGTTATTTTAAGTAACATGATTTCTCTAAGTAAGACCGAGATGAGACTCTAGCGTTGTAATGTCACGTGCCTACAAATATGAATCACTCGTAGAAAGTCACTAGCCGTGTGAAACTGAAAGTATGTCTTTGAAATTGTAATTTCAAGTCTCAATAATATGGAGTAAGTCAGAATTATTGAACCACGAGAGCCCCTCTTGTGATAGGATCGTGTATGCGTGGCAAATCACACTAAGGCTGAGTTGCACCATCTTGCTTTAACTTTGACAAACGTCAAAAATCTGTCATACTCCATAAAAAAGCGCCCGTTAATGTTATTGCTACGGTTAAAATAAAGTGGAGTAACTCAGCCTAAATAGTCCGTGTGCTCCTCAAAATAACTTCAAATGGTGTTTTGGAAAACAAAGTTTTCAGTAGATCCTTGGAATATTACTACTCTCCATATAAAATTCCAAATATTAATTTGTCGCATGACTAAATTTTGAGAGGAGTGATTAGTGAGTGTGAAGAGTAGATTAGAAGTTAGTCATAAAGATACATTAGTTTATTTTTCAGCTGACCTCAATCCAACTTTAATGCCCTAATGAGTGCACATTAGTGTTAGCAATCTCTAGTTTGTAAACTCTAAATTTTTGCTGGCATAATGAAAAAGCTTTCATAGTTTTAAGTAGGTATGTACCTACCTACACATAAAAGCTGAATAAGTAAGTAAGGTAGGTACATAACATAAAAAACAAAAATATACGTAAATTAGTATGTAAAGTATACAATTATAATCATTATAGGAGTCAGGAACTTATCTAATTTGTATTCGGAAAGCTTCAAAAATTGTTTTTGTAGCGAAGTGATTTATCCATATTACCATAAGCCACATTTGTTTTTGTTAAATCTAGACATGAAAGGTCAGACAAACAAATGGCAATCGATATAGGGTAAGTCCAGGATAGATGCCCCACTTTTTGAAACAGCTCTGTAACTCAGTCAGCAAGTTTTTATCAACAATTTGACCTTAGTATCTGTAAACTTTAGTCTTTCGTCTATGATATTACTATAATTATTTTAGTTTAAGTTATACCGATTCTGAGTAAATACCATTTTAATTGACCTCTTAAAAGTGGGATAGACGCCTAATGTGGGGGATAGAAGACTCACTGTATGATTGCTTTAAAGGATAGATGCCTGATGCAGGGATAGATGACTCGTTAATACAGTTTTTGAATTGTAAGGATCAAAAACATTTTGAAATCATACAAGCCAAGTATTATTATTTAAGATTGTTTGTTATTAAATGAATTAAAAATGAAATTTAATATTTTTTATTAAAAATAATACATACATCCACCCGAAAATCATAACCCTCCTTCTAGCGCAGTCGGGTAAAAAGGTTATTCGATCAGAAGGGCACCCAATTTATTACTTTCCAAAGGTTAGCCGTACTACATTCTATTTTTCTTCTTACTTGATTACTTCTTACTGCCTGTGACAAAAAGAGCAGGTTAGGATAGATGCCCCTAGGTGCATGGGACATGGCCCTAAGGGCATCTAAACCAAAAAAAAAATAGGCAACTATCCTTTTAGCATAGGATAGGTGCCTTTTTTAATAAAAATATAATAACACTAAAAATCGAATTAAACATAGCTATTCCGTATAATTTATAAGATAGTCTATCAAATTATATAAAAATCTGCTTCATTTTACATCTGACAAAAAAATTATCCATTAAAAGATACTTACCAATATTATTTCGACGCTCGCTAAGGTCTGGCCGCGGAAGATTTTTGCTCTCACTGGCTAAACGAACGCACTCTTTGATGGTTTGTGAGGCTCAAAGTGGTACGGGGAGGTCCCTTTCTATTATACGTACTATAACTTTAGGCTAAGTTGCTTGTAACATAGTGTACTTAAAATCGCGGCACCTATCCCACTGGGGCATGTATCCTGGAATTACCCTAGAGCCATCGAAGTCACAATGACTGTGCAAAATGAATACATAACGACCCGCCAGCGTAATAGGGATGAATCGTTATCATAGTAAAAGGAAATAGTAAAATAGCTTTATAGGCTTTTAACTCTTACGTTCACAAAAGCATGCGTGTAAGAACAAAGCCACAACGCAACTGCCAGAATTCTTATAACGCTTGCAATCTACGTGAACGAAATGCGATAGCAATTTTGGTGATCATGTGAACTTGCTTTACTATTCTCTTTCACTGTTGTACGAGGGGCAGAAGTGATGGGTGTGGTAATTAATTTAATAGTATTCATACATTAGGAGTTCCATTTCTTGTTCCTCGCGTTTTAATGAACCAGCTAGGTCGTCGCGATTCGCTCTCGCACGTTCCAGCGTTTTAGTAATGTCGTCACATTGTCGCTTCAGTTGCATGCGCTTGGCTGTTAACTTCACTGAAACGGAACATAATGTATGCATGGAATGCAATTAGTACAAATGTGAGCTAAATGCTGATTTGAATACGTAGGAACTAGGGGTGAAATTAGAAAAATATATGAAAATATTTCAGTAATGTTCCTAGTACCTACCTATTTATAATTATCAACATCACCATTACCTGTCTTCCATAAGAACCACAACGCCGCAAAGAATTATCTACAAAAGGTCGTCGGTTCATTGAGCAGGTATCCTACTCTACGGTTGATCTACCTAATGTCATTTATATTCTTTACATGAGCTTGCTACATTTTTTGTAAGTACAGTACTTTGCTTTCTGCCAAAGTGAGTATAAATTCATATTAATGGTTTTAGCAAGAAAGAGTGTTGTGACTGGCAGGTCGCGCTAAAAAATGCTTATGTAAAAAACACGCACTTACCTACCTACTTACCTAGGCAAAGGCGTGGGTAAAAGCTAACTATTACATAAAATATTGTAGAGGTTCATTAAAGTCAGTCAGTAGTCTATAAAATAGTCATAATCAATTTATGAACGGAAAATTGTCGGCAAAAAAATTTAAATTGTTATTGTGAACAGTAAAAGCAAATTCAAGATGTTATATTTTTAGATTGTATAAATTAATGTCACTAAAAACAATTTCTTTTTTGTTTATTAGATGCTCGACGTAATACGATTTTTCGCTGAGCTAAATTTTATTCTTACTTCGAGTATCAATTGAAAGAAATATAATCTCTTCGAAGCACCCTGTCAAATGCAGATTTCTTAAAAAACGAACCTTTCGGTAAGAATAGAAATTCTCTTGTGTTTAGAGAATTAAGGATGAAAATAGGAGAAAGGGTTCAAGATAAGCCTTTAAGATGAATTACATAGCTAACAATGTTTTTCGAACAATATTATTTTAATGATTCCTTACCACACCATTAATCAAGTGTGGAGCTTCAATGGTGAATTCTAGTAGAAGGCTACCTGAGCATAGAATCTCGCTCAGTTCAAGTATGAACCCGCCGTAATTGGTAAATTATTGTTATACCAACCCGCGAGGCGCCAACATGAGTCGTTGATTTTTGACATGTTGTCAAAAGTCTAGAAATAAAGCCGCAGACATCAAGGCGTCTGGTTGTCCTTTATTTATTTTTCCTACATAAGTAAGGGCAATTGTGTATAGAACTCACCATTCTCCAAGTTGAGACGCTCCCTTTCAGCATTGAGGGAGCGTGCAACTCTCAGCGCCGACATGGTCTCCCGATACTTTTGCTCGTTCTCAGCGTCTAAGGCGGGCATCGCCGAATTCTAAAATAGTTAAAAGAAAAATCATAAGTAATTCAAATTGATTTTTTTTATTAATATTGTACCTTTCAAAACTTATCGTCATACTCGTAACGTCGGACATGTTGAAAACCCATATTTGATTAAGTCGAGTAAAAAACATTAAATAAGTATTTGTAACGTGTGATAATACCATATTGCAAATTATTCAAAAAACAAACGGATTGTTAAGTACTTCGTGGTAAAAGTTAATTTTACTTACTTGAACCAACAAATCATCTCCAATTTTTTCCAAGTTCGATTTCAGTAAGCAAATTTCAATTTGTTGTTCCTCCGGAGAAAACATTTTCAAGGCACCGATATTTTTATGTAGGTAAGCAATTAAGTAGTACGCTGGTTTCAGCTACAGCTTCAATACTAAAGTAATTTGCGGCTTGCGTGAAAAATATTGTGTAACCACGCGCCCGCCAAAAATTATGTAAAAACTTCAACGTTTTTTCTCTGTTGTCTTTGAACGAAGCAAAGAAATCAGAATTTATACAGCTTAACTTGGGCACGCAGATTTTTGATTATGGTGAATATAGCCGATAAAAATTACTGTTCTTTTTTAAATGTAGCAATTTAAATGCCCGTACAATATTGGAAAAAAAATGAAGCGAAGGCATTGGCAGTTTTATTTATTATTTAAAAACTTAATGAAATAATGTTCTAAATGTATCATCTCTATCCATTCACGTATATGTATATCATTTATATTTAATATTTATCGATATACCTACAAAATTTTAAATTAATATTAATTTATTTGACATTGCCCATTTATGCAAAAAAAAGAAAAAAAAAACTCCCGCCAAAGTGGCACCGCGCCACAGATTATACAGAGTTGCTGCTGGTGGCAAAGAAAATCCGATTGTTCGTTTTCTGTAAATGGTAGTGTATACTGTGGTATTACCAAAATTTTTACAACCTGTAGTGTAACATAAAAAATGTTGTACCTACTTATACATTCTACGGCCACGTTTTTATGACAGCAAAGTAAAGATAACATGATTTTTCACTCGAATTACTGCGCCCGGAGGGACTTGACCTAAAGTCGGGCAGTGGAACTTTTCCAGTCCAATCTTAATCTTAGATTAAGATTATATAAAAGATTCCAATAGCCATTTTTCCTCAAAACATTCAGTTCATTATTACATAATGCTAATTTTTTGCCATAGCTTCGTAGTTTTTGCCATTACTACGGAACGGCTAGGAGGTGCCTGTGTGATTTGCCTAACCCAACAAAGTAACAACTAATCCAACAAAGTAGTAACATAACCTAATTTAGGACTAAGATATACTTTACGTGGAAATGCAGCTATGAGTACCAAACCCACCCACCCAAATTTGAGTTTTACCACTTGATTTATTGAAGTGCCTCGGAAAGGCAAATGGGTTTTAGTGCTTCCAACTCAATTGTGTTTGTGTGTTGATTTATTCATATAGCGGTCACAGAAACGCCAATAAACGGAATGGCTAACGTCCATGGATGAAATGAATGCATTTTGTATAGTCTACAGTAATAAAATAAAAACAACCTTATTCGTTGCAGCTCCGTGATTTGACTAAACTGAAAGCAAGTTCAAGTCAAGCTAAATAGGTTTTTTCTTCAGAAAATGACTTACTTGACTTATGGTCCTATGTCCCCTAGATGGGGCAGAGGGCGTCCACAACAGTCCTCCATCTCGTTCGGTCTTGAGCTTCTCGCTTGATCTCGCTCCAGGTTTTGCCGATCTTCTTCGCCTCGTCCGCTACAGTGCGCCGCCAAGTTTGCCTGGGTCGACCACGTTTGCGTTTTCCTTGGGGATTCCAATCCAGAGCCTGCTTAGGGATGTGATCTTCAGAAAGTAATACAGATGAAAAAGCTTTGTGAAGCCTTAGTGTGAAGCCGCAATCATAAAGGCCCGTATTATAAAACGGTGCTCAAAACTTGATTTAAACTCAAGCATTCACATCTAGTGATTGGTTGAATTCCAATAATCAGATCTAGATATTTTTGAGTTGAGTTTTTGAATTTCATTTCATAATATGGGCCTTAGTATCTCTTAGGTATTTCCAGTTGACGTTCCAATTTGCTGCGTCACCTTAATTAACCAGCTTTCAAGAGCAGGCAAAATATTTCCGAGTTATACGGCAATGTTGAAATTCTACGGATTCTATGGATATTATTAAAGAGCCAACCCTCTTTAATATAAAATGAAATTTTTAATGAAAACAAATTAATATTAAACATACTTAAGTATGAAGAAAAATGGCTCTGCTAACGATTAAACATAATTCAGAAGCTCTCTTAAATGGTGTTTTTCTTCGAGTTTTTCCTTATGTAGTATATTGCTCCTGTAAATCTTCCCTAAAGTCCTAATAGCATAGATTGCGTAATGTTACTCTATCTTAAAGTTTAACCATTTCAAAGTACACGTGAGCCTATTTATTGACTTAGATGTCGAGATGGTTTGAAGTTAGGACTAGATTACATCAAGGTTTCGTAAGTAATATAACAAAAAGGTTTTCTAAAAGTTTGTCTCAATTGAAAACTTTAAAATAAAGCATTTTTTTCGTTATTTACAATCCCAATTAATGATGCTAGAAACTATCACATTTTAAAAAATCGAACCTTCCTTTACCTAAAATAGGCGAGTAGTTTCCGATGACCGATTTAGCGCTGTGGTTGAGAACTCGGCTACTAGGCCAGTGCTGGCGCGGGTTTTCTTTGCACAATAATACATTTTGCATTTTGTTTGCATGAAGATATAAGTATTTTCTGTCTTACATACTATTTTATAAACATGGCTTCCAGTACAAGCACTTTATCATTGATATAGGTACATAAATTGAACCTTAGTTTACAGTTGTTTGTTGCTGTTATCTAGGAGGAAGTACGGAATAATAAAGGAACATTTTACGTTCCTTTGAAACATATTTCCCTAGAGTCTTACGTAGTAATTGTAAGTTTATTTATCAACTACTCGTAGCAGCCGCCCGCGACTTCGTACGCTTGGACCCCAATTTATCCCCTTATAGGTGGAGTTTCGTAAAATCCGTTAATAGTGGATATCTACACCCTATAAGGAGACACCTGCCTAAGTTGGTATGTAGGAAGTGTTAGTTTCTGAGATTTCGTGAGTAATCAGTGAATGGTATTTCGCTTTTATAATATTTGATATCAATTTTGTTTCTTTTATTTATTATCTGTTCGCTGACCTGTGAATGCGGGAATTAATAAGCCTGTTAACCGCAATTTGGCCTCCACTTTGATATTGGTTTCACTAGCAAATTATTATCGACGAATATTTGTGAATTGTTTTCAATACTCTCTTGAATTTTATATTTAAAAATTAACAGAATTTTACCCAGTTGCTGTTGTTTTTTAGTGGAGCTGAAATTGTTTAACACTTACATTATGGTAACGCAATAATAACTATGTTGGAATAGTGTTGTTTTTAAATGTTGTTATAGTGGTTATACCTAGTTGTTGCAATTCACGAAGGCGAGTGAGCTTGTGTGGTGTGGTGGCTCGCTACTGTTCGTTTTTCAAAAGTTTTGACCAACATTACACTATCGTTATGTGCATGTACACGTACATACACAAGTAAAGCTCACTCGCCTTCGTGAGTTGCAAGAACTATAAGAGTTAATAATACATAATATCTAAATCTAAATTCGATTAGGTTGTTTTTACAGTCAAAAGCATCTAACTAGATGCTAAAGTTAGGCAAATACATGTAACAGCTACTTACTAAGTAATAGTAGATATAGATTGTATGTAGGTAAGCAAGCGTCAGATCATGCGAACTGCCGTAGGCGTTTAGCATGGGTCATGTGGCTTTACGAAGCTCCGAGATACCTAATACCTAGGCTTTCCACGTGCCATTCTGTATGGACAGATAGACATAAATGTTTATACAGGGTGTTAGGTAAATGGGTATATGAGCCGACACTAGCCCATGTTAACATGGGCATAAAATGGTATGGTGAAGTCAGAAATTTGATATCATCATTTTATTTTTTTTTAATTTTCATACAAAATAAATTTTATAAAATCCGATTTGTATGAAAAATAAAATAATTAAAATGAAGATATCAAATTTCTGACTTCACCATACCATTTATATGCCCATGTTAACATGGGCTAGTGTCGGCTCATATACCCATTTACCTAACACCCTGTATATAGGGTTTATAGTATAGGTATGTACTCGTATATCTAGATCTAGATTTTACAGTACATTTTCGTATTCAGCACGAGATGGTCAGTTAGAATGACTACTTAAGTGTTATTTATGTGACCTGAGAGACGTTGGTCTAATTAAAACAGCAATGAAATTTCTTGAATTGAGGATATCTTGCAAATTATTCTTTCCTTAACTTTGTTTGGAAATATTACAACTTTTTTATGAATTTGAAATTGAATTGTTGAATAAGTCATAGCGGTTCTCCAGTGACACACTTAACGTGAAAGATAGCTAACTGCATCAAATGGAGCTGTAAATAATAAACAATTAAAACAATTTGAATAATGTCACAATGCAACTACACAGCTGTGTAAAATAGTATATTAATGTTCACCCAGTGTCCCTGAAATGTGTAATCCATAATTCCACAACACCAGGCGTCATTCCCGACTAGGGAGGGAATTTATAATCAGTATTGCACTACAGCCTTGCATAGTAATGGTGTCGTTACAGTTTTGGAAGGAAAAGACACTATAGTTGCTATACAATAGGATGGAATTATACTACTCTTAATACTGTAGATAGAAAACTTTACTGAAAGGAAATATTTCTTTATTTTTGAGAAGAAATTGCATTCATAGATATCCGAAAATTCGTTTGCCACATAAAAACAAATGAATGTTTCCTTTGAGTAAAATTTTCTATTTACAGTATTATGAGCACTTTCCCTTAATGCTACCTTGTATACAAAGTCAAAGCTTTAATTCAGTACTAGGTTAGTGTCTCATTCAGTAATGATGTTTTGAAAGTAGCTAGGAGTTCTGTTCCTCAATATTTTGTTCACTATTATGTAATTCGGAACTGGATCTATATGAATGTATCTGTTATTTAATGTAATTAAATTAAACGGAACGTAACCAACTTAACGCTTAATTATGTAGGTATTTGTCAAGCTATAATAAAATATTGTAAAACACCTACTATAACTATTACAAACGAAAGTAAAACTGATTTTCTTACAAAATCTGCCATGACTGTAATAGAGGAACTCAATTATTTCTTGTAAGGGGTGCGGCGAAGTAAAAATGTTGAATGATCGACAGAAAGGGATTTTTGCCTGTTTATTTCCACTCGACTTAATCTATCCTTCTTGCTCAAGATAGCATACCAATGTGACTGAAAGAGATGGATGAAGTAGAAAGAATCGAATCGTTTTTCGGAATAAGTCTTTGGATAGGGTTAATCAATCTCAGACAGACGGGTTGAGGTTGCGTGCTGACCG